TGGTGCTATGATTTGGCAAGAGAAGGAAGGGAGGGGCAGTGTGGAATTCTGGTTGGGATGGTGAGGCATCTTGCCCTGAGACTGCCCTTCTCCAAGAGGAATGGGGGCTGGAGGTGTGGAGAAACCCGTGGCTGGCTTTTGTCTTTTCCTCTACTCAACAAAACATGTCTCAGGCAGGTCCTCACTGCTCTTGGGTACCTGACCTTGCTGTTATTAGTGGAGTTTCTTATCGAGGGAAGAGTCAGGTGACTTTCAGCGCATCACTTCCCCTCTCTAAGCTTTTTAGTAAAAGAAGGGGTTTATCCTAGATGGTCTCCAACCAAGCCCTTTCTAGCATTTCTATTAGTGAATGGAATCAGACACTGCATCTCTCCCACCTCCTTATTATCATGGTGGTTTCAGGTTCCTGTCATGCCCTCTGTCTTTCCTGCTCTCTCCAGGGCTGCTGTGTATGGTGGTGCAGGGCATTCACTGCACAAAGACACCCCGCCAAGGGAGTAAGTGGAAGCTCAATTCCAGCCCACACTGCTCCACAAGCCACGTGCCCTGGCTGGCTCAGGGTTGCATTTACCCAGCATGAAGAACACCTTTATCTAGTTTGTTCTAAGGTGCAGTATTAGCAGCTTCCACTTTCCTGTCACATGCACACTCCTTCTGCTCTTCTGTGTCCCTTTTCTCCTACCATCCCCGGCCTCAAATAGGGAGGGTCTGAAGGCAGCCTTTACGAGAAGTGCCTTGGAGAGAAGGGCAGCAGCTATCTCCTTTGAGGAGTTCTGCCTCCTAAGCCCTGTGGTGCTTTTCCTCTCCTTATCAATGCTGTGAGTTATCTCTCAAAATTGCTTTGCCGTCATTAACACCACAGATTAGGTCAGATGAGAGTGTGTTTGCAGTCTTGGATGGCAAAGGCAAAATGCTGATGCTGATTATTCGAGACCTTCTGGGCATGGCCCACTCCGTGCTCACAGTTCTTAATCAGAGGGACAAGTGTTGTTTATGTGGCGGAGTGGGCCAGGGCCATGGTTAGTGCTAATCTGGCCAGGCCCAGACAACAAGCATGTCTGCAGCACACGTTGGCCTGTCTGGACATCATAGGTGATCTCGATTTTATCCCTCAAAGAAGAAATGACCCATCTAATGGCGATGCCCATGGGCTGCTTTTGAACCATTAGCAATAAATGCGAAAAAGGACTGTGAACATTTTGCCCTGGGCCTGATCACCAGGGTTTGTGTTCTGGGGCTCACTGGGTGGCCGTGTGGCTGAGGAGCACCTTTCAGACCATCTCTCCTTCAGTGACCCCTTCTGAAAAGCCTCTGTGCCTAGAGAAGGCCAAGGCCTATGGCCTTGCATCATGGCTCCTCAACTCCTGGTCTCATATCCTACCTCTGTCACCTTCACCCTGTACTCCAGCCACAGCAGGGTCCCCAAACACAACTCTCTGGGCCTTAATCATGCTGGATCCCTGCCAGGAGTGCCTCCTCAGCCTTATCCTCCAGGCGCAAGTTCATCATCCGTAGCAGCCACTACTCTGCCAATGCCCTAAACTTTTACCACTTTAGGGCCCCGCATCCAACTGCCAGTGCCTGCATTTCTTTGCCTAAGCTTTCTCTGGCTTCTGGAACCTGCAATGCCACTCTGTGCTGGTCAGGTAAGAACTGCTGGGGAATTAACACCCTCGAGAAGCAGCTCTCAGCCACTGAGCCAGTGACTAACTTCAGTTAGTATCTACACATCTCTGCTCTCTCACCCCTCCGGCAGGTTGTTTGAGGCATGTTCCACATAGCCTCCCAGAGCTCCGCAGTGGGAATGAGTGAGCCCTGGTTGTCCACAGTGATAATTGGCTTGATAAACCACTCTTATTGGCTGCCTTCCCTGTCTCACATCCACACTCGCCCCATAGTGTTTCCTTAATTTCAATAAACAACTTGCATTCAAATCTTTCTCTCACAATCTGCTTCTGGGGGAACCAAACAGACATCATCTTCAATGTCCTTCTCAATATCACTTATTTTTTGTTGTTTCCTCTGATCCTTCTTTGTTCTCACTCCTAGGACAGAGCCATTGGTTACTCTTCTCTATTCCCAGGGCCCCTTATACCTACCTCAACAGCACTTCTCATGCTGCACTGAGGTTGATCTGTATGTATGTCCTGGGGCCCCCACTAGCCTGGGAACTCTCTGGGGATATTGTTCTTTTCACATTTTTATTCACTCAATCTGAACTTAGACTGGTGCCTGGCACAGAGCAGCTACCTAATACAATTTCTTGCCAAAGAGCCAGCAGTGAAAATGTAATGACTAAGAGGGACAGGAGAGAAAGAGACAAGTCCAAAGTCTTTCTGGAAAGAGACCCAGGTGCTGCTACCCCAAATACTGTCACATTATAAGGTTACATGGTAGAACTTCAGTTTCACCACTCACTTGCTGAGCAACCTGCAATGGCTCCCTATTGTTGCCTTCCCCGACAGGGCCTAATGTCATAGATGGCTTTTAAGACCCTCTATCATCTAGCCCCATCCCAAAAGTCAGTCAAGCCTCTTTTTCAGAGTAGGCTTTGGATCTCAGTGGCCTAGGTTCAAATTCTCACTCTGCCAAGTACCCAGCTGGGTGATCGTGGGCAAGTTACTTAGCATCTCTGGGTACTAGCTTTCTTATTTATTAAATGTAGATAATAGTACCTCACACCTATGAATTTGAGAATTTAAAATCATGTGTACTAAAAACCACTGAACTGTATACTTTAAAATGGTGAATTTTATGGTATGTATATAATACCTTAAAAAAAAATTAAGCATGGTGTTTGGCCCAGGATTGCGTCTTTGAAAACAGAATAGTGGTCATCATTGATCTAGAGGAAGTTTCCCAGCACCAGGCCAAGCACACAGCAGGTACTCAGTAAATACTAGTGGAATGAACAGAGAACATATTCCACAAGTAGTTTTGAGTATGTCTAGGACAGGTTTGTGGGAGTAGAGGCGCCAAGGGCATAGAGATTCCAAGTCCAGTTTTGCATCCCTCAGGAGAGGCAGCCCAAATTATTCTCCGTGGAGAGAGGGCCTTAGGCCCAGCTTGAAAGTGGGACCTTCCGACCTAGCTGTGCCCCACTGCCCTGGAAATGCCATGGCCTCTGCCTCCTGCTGTCTGACCCAGCCGATACCGAGCCATGGGAAAAGGAAAACACTTAACTCAGCTGAGGAATGTGTTCTTATATTTATCTTTGACTCTGGCTGTATCTGATGTTCCGGGAACTGACTTCAAACAGAATCACGAAGTGCCAGTTAAGGCCCAGTAGCTAAAAGCCAGGCCCTGAGGGCGTGGCTTCTCCCGATCCAGCAGTGGGCTCTGGGCCTACCTGGATCACCTTCCTGGCACAGAGGCTCGTTCCGGCCCTGTGCCGGAGGTGGGCACAGAGGTGGTGGAGGCTCTATCTCACCAAAGCTTAGGCCGAGGCTGAGGAGGGGTGCGGCGGATTTTCTAGAGACGAGTCCACGCGCACAGCACCAGGAAGACACCACAACACTGCAACCCCAAGACCAGAAGGACGAGCTGGGGCAGAGTGGTGTCTGGCTGGGAGGGGGCCCCTTGAAAGGTGCCTCAACTCCTCCCTCTTTGACAGGGTAGGGATCAGAGCCCCAAGCAGAGCAGGGGCCTATTCGGTGCTGGTGGCATCGAAGTCTGGGGAGCTTAGGCTGCCTTCTAAGTCCGGTGGAGGAAGCTTCTAGACCTGGGGGCTGGCTCAGCCGTGTGGTCACGACGGACGAGGGAAGGGGAGGGCGCTGGCGCTTGGCTTAGGTGGCTGACTTTACTTGGCCAGGCCCGGCAGGATCCCGGGGTGATGGGTGAGCGCCCAGGCACCGACCCCTCCTAGGCCTAAAGGCTTTCACTTGGAAACCGAGGCAGCCCCTCCAGTCTCTGGAGTCGCCCCCACATGCCTCTCCAGGAGATATGGAGTCCGTCTCTGGACTGAGACGCTCCCCTCCTCGTGGAGGCACCCACAGCAGAGAATTCCTCAAGCCTCTGGGTGGGGAGGGTCTCTTCTGCACACGTTCCTCCCCAAGCCGACCCGCACAGACTCTTCTCAGGAACCCCTTGGTTCACATACCCCTCCCCCTCCCCCAGTGTGGAGCACCCTGAGGGGGTGGGGAGTGGAGTTCGGACGCAGAGACACTCACCGCCAGGACCATCTCTAGGTATCACTCCTCAGGCTACCAGTATCTGGAGCCACGTCCCCACGCCCACCACGCGCGCGCGCGCTCACACACACACACACACATACACACACAGACACACACACACACAGACACACACACACTCGGCCCGGTGCGCAGACCCCGCCGGAAGTTTCCCTCCTCACTTTTTAGGCTTCCATACTTCACTGCCCCGCACGCAGCCCGCCTGGGTGGCGGGAGGCGGTGGCTTCGGGCAGATTTGATTTTCCCGCAGCCTGGGCGCCCAGCAGCCGGAGCCAGAGCCGAGGAGGTGGCGCTCGCAGCCGCGTCCCCAGCCCCGCTGCCGCCCGCACCGAGACCCAGGGAGAGACAGCGCAGCCCCTGCGATCCGGGCTCCCGGCTGCCCACGTTCATCCATCTCCGCCGCCCGCGCTGCATCCGGGCCCCCCACGCCCCTCTCTCTCTATCCTGCACCCCGTCTCCTCCCCACGCGAAGCTGCACGCCCCTCTCCACGACTCCGCGCGTCCCTCCCGGTGCCCTCGCCCCGCGCCTCTCCGTCTCGCCCCGCTGCGCCCCAGCTTCCTGGGCACCTTGCCTCTCTCCGCTGGGCCCCCAACCTCCTCGTCGCGGCCCCCGCAACCCCTGAATCCGCGCCCCCCCTCCCTCCGCCCCCCTTCCCTCACTTCCCACGCCCCCTCTTCGCGCTCGTCTCTCCTCCCTTTGCCTCCCAGCCTTGGCTCCGGAGTTGGGGGAGAGCCTATGGTTTCAGTTGCTCCGGGGAAGGCTTGAATCGCGCAGGGATCGACTAATTTGGGGTGGGGGTGCGGTGGGCGATGGAACAGCCCGAGGACATGGCGTCGCTGAGCGAGTTCGACTCCTTGGCGGGCAGCATCCCGGCCACCAAGGTGGAGATCACCGTGTCCTGCAGGTGAGCCGCCCGCTGGCCGGGTCCCCCTGTCCCGCCCATGGACCCCGAGCCCCACAGTCCCTGTGGCTCTGACCCTCCACCTCTGCGCACCCCTTTCCCGAGTGTCGTCGCCTTCAGGACGCCCCTCCTCCCCACCTCCAGTCCGGCAAGAGCCTCTGCCCAGCCGCGCAGGTGGTGGCGGCAGAATGGAAGCCAGGCTTGGGGTCGTATCCCGGAAAGTTTACACTCCGGGCTATTGCGGCGAGGAAATATGAAGACACAGTAAAGGGATCCAGACACCCGAGTGAGAAACAGGAAGGGGGTGAAAGGCTCTACCGGGGTCTTCAAGGCACAGGCTATTTCTGGTCAATTCCTCTCCAAATCGAGAAGTGAGTGATCTGCCTCATCCGCCCGTCCCAGGCATGCCTAGCCTCTGCCTTTGTGCCCGCCCTTCCTCCCTTCCCGCTCCTTTGCCACATCCTCTCCTCTCCCACCCACTCACCGTCCTAGACCCCAGGATTCTAGTCTTTCTTCACCTCCAACAGCAACATTGACATTTGGAAAAGGATCAGATTTACTCATAGTGGCATAGATAACTGATCATCGAAAGTGGTACCATTAAAACAAACAAACAAACAATAACTTGGGTACAAAATCTTAAACCAAAGGATTAGAACAGCGTGTGGAATTTTAGAGTCCATCAGGGGAGAGGTAGGGTGTTTTTATGGGCTCTCACCCCAAAATCCTCAGTCATATCACACAGGTTTTGGGGCTAACTTCTCCATCACAGAGCTGGGTCTCCCTCAGGCACTCTTATCTGAGGAGAAGGCTGCTCCAGGCAGTCAGGGGGGTGCAGTTGGTGAAGGGAGAATTTTTCCCTAGTGTAGTAACCTTGTGGCTGGCCTAAGGTTCCCCTGAGACACCATTACCCTGCCCCAAATGACCCGAGTCCTGGCTGTGTCCTTGTTCCAAATCACCCACACCATCTTCCAGGCCTCTCTTTGATCAGAGCCTTTACTCACCCTCATGGCCAGCCAACCCTGTATTCCAGGCATTGGTAAGGTGTAGATAGAGCTAGAGGAGCTGGGCTGGGCTGGGCTGTGAGAGAGGGAGGGAGCAGTGTGTGTGTGGGGGGGGGGAAGGCAGGGAGGGGAAGGTTTGAGGGTGAATGAGGATTGATGTCGAACTTAGCTGTCCCCTGTGCCAGGCTCCAGTGATAACTCCCATGTCTTCTCCATGGTCCTACACACAGTGCTGTCAGAATTATCTCCTAACTCCACTTGCATCTTGCCATTACTCTGCTGGGAGAATCCTGATGGCCCATTAGCTCTAGTCTCACCTCTCAGCCATCAACAGCAGCCATAGCCTGCTCTTTCTTTTCTAGCAGGGCACACATCCCTGTGCCTCCCTCCCAGTCTTCAATCATGCCTGTGTCAGAGCTGTTTCAGGCCTCTGAACAGCCCATCTAGAAATCTCCATCTAGAATTCACCCCTTCTTCATCTCTACCATTTCATGCTCCCTCAACCCAAAAGGCCTGGCCTTGTGCTCCCCACTTCCAGCCATCCTTCTCACCCATGAGACAACCAGACCCTTGGGTCCTGAGTACTCACCTTGGGCTATGAGGTCACTCACATACTGAGCACTCGACCTCTGAAGACATCTCAGGTATGTAGACTTCATCCCTCCTCCTAGAGAAACTGTATAAGTGTTTGAGGGCAGGGATCTCCAGCCTGACTCAGACCCATCGACCCTCTACTCCAGTGGAGAATTGAGGAGGCAGAAGGCACACAGCACTGTGGCTTTGGAGTCAGACATCTTGAAATGGAATCTGCTCTACCACTTGGAGCTGACTTTGAGCCTTGGTTTCTCCCATTTGTCAACTGTAAATAATGAACCTGTTTTCACTGAGAAACCACATCTGCTGAGGTAGCTCACATGCTTGGAAGAGTGGCTGCCTTGTAGTAAGTACTCAACAAAAACTATTAGAGGAATTAACTTACAGGAATAGAGGATTGTGAAGTACCGAGCACACTACTTCTCACTTGCTTGGCACACAGTAGGTGCTCAATAAGTAGCTATAATGATTACTTGAAGGCAGAATGGTTGTGGCCCTTCCCATTTGCTCTCTGGAAGTAGAGATGTCAGACCTGTTGCCTAAAAGGTAACTAGGGATGGCATTTGAGTTTTGTGGGGGGAGGATATGGTTCTGGGATCAACCCTGGTGTCCATTCCCTCTTAGGGGACATGATCCATCAGCTTGAGAAGGGCCCGACCCAGGCTGCTCCTGCTCTTCTGACATCCAGAGAGTGAGAAAGTAGATTTTGGTAGGAAGGGGTGAGAAGGGAGGAGTCACACGGAATGGAGAGGAAGCAAGAAAACAATCTAGGTGGGCTTGAAATTATAAATTCATATCTTTGCCTCAACCAGGTTCAATTATCCAGGTTCTAGAAGAGAGGGATGGGGTGAAGAAAAGCAAGAGAGGAGGAGGATAGGAGGAAGGAGAGCTACACAGAATAGTTTTCTCCAGTGTATTCTACACTCCATAGTCACCAATTAATGAGAACGAGTCCTTCTCCACTGTATCCTGTGGTCAGCACTGACTGGGCCCCAGGAGAGGAGGCTATGGGGTGCTCTTGCTGTGAGCATCTAGGGGACATCTGCTAGTGATCAGGGAACTACTAGTGGTAGGGTAGGCAGAGGGGTTGGTGGGGTAAGAACTCCAGGGGGCTTCAGAATGAGCTTCTGGGTTTGGGGGGGGCAGTGTTTTAGGAAACTGGAAACTAGCATCCTGGGGCCCAGTTCCCTTCCTTCTCTGCTCCTTAGGAAGGTCCCTGCTACCTTCTGCAGCCCTAGGAGCTCTCTGCTTTTGCCTAAGGGAGGACCCAAACGCCTGTCATGCCTATCCTAGGGCACTGCTAGCTAAGCCAAGCTACCTGGTACAGGGACACATCTAAGCACCAGCACAGGACCACAGCGGAGGCCCAGCCAAACCTCTGCTGAAGGCAGATCACACTGGGATGGACATGTTCGGGTCCCTGCTGCAGGGAGGGTATCTCTTGGGCTAATCTGTAGTCTACTCCCAAGCAGTTGTTTATTGGTGAACTCAGGAGCCAAAGATCATAAAACCTCTGGTTGTTTGGCTCAGTGGTTAAGAAAATGGTCTGTGGGATCTGTCTACCTGGATGAACTACTTAACCTCTCCGTCAGTTTCCTCATCTATAAAGGTGGCATAATAATCTCTATCACAGTTAGGAGGATTAATCCATGAATAGTAATTTATGTTGCCTATTATTCGACACCTGAAAGTAAATAAAAATCTGTCTGCATAGCTGGGTCCCAGGGCTTGGGTGGGTCCTGGAGATCTGATCCATCTAGAGACTCTTATCCCGACCCCTCATCTTTATTGCCATATATTTGACATTTAGAGCTTCTGAGTGAGTAGGGTAGATGGTTTGTGGAACTCGATACCAGCAGGCATTGTAGGAAAGGTGAGCCACAAGCTTCTCCTTCCTCTCATGGTCTGTTCCAGACCTTTCTTAGCCTCCCTGCAGACTCAATCAAAAGTCACCTGTCCAGTGTCCTATTCTATAAGGGCTGCATTATTTTTCTAGTTTCTGTGCATCATCTAACCAGCCTGTTGGTTAGAAAGAGTGATTTGCATTTTTTACATAACAGGAAACCTTTGTACTTTCGCAGGGTCCTTTTGGAAGAAGTGATGCACACTTCCACATGGTGGGGCTCCTGAGACCCCCAAGGGAAAGCAAGGAGAGGGAAGTTCAGAGGCAGGCATTGCTTAGCCCTGCTGGAGTCTCTCAAGCAGCTGCCCTCTCCCTACCAGCTGGCGTGGGTCTGGTGGGCAGCTGTTGCCTTTGCCCAGGAGATGTTTCCTGCTGTCTGTTCAGGTTGGCATTTTGCTGCCAGAGAGGCAGCCTATCTCAGGAGCTGTGCCCTGGGCCTCTCAGAAGGGGTGTGATTGGGCTCTGAAAGCTTTCCTCTGACACGCAGGAGAGGGTGGCTTTGGGGAAAGAGGAGCCTGTCAAAGCCGGTGCTAGGAAAAGAGGTCCATTCAGCTATTGAATATGCCAAGGTACTCTCTAGTGGAGCCAGGAGAATAATAACAGTGGGATTTATTGAGTGCTTACTACTTGCTAGGCACTTTACCTCTGTATTAGCCTGAACGCTGTGCAATCGCCTATACTCAACTATTTTTGACCTATTCAAATAGCAATTTGGTTCAAACTAAGATTATTGTATTAGTTTTCAGTTGCTGCATAACAAATTACCACAAACCTAGCAGCTTATAAACAACAGCCTTTTATTATCTCACCATTTCTGTCGATCAGAAGCCTAGGCACAGCATAACTTGCTTCCCTGCTCAGGGTTTCCCAGGGTGAAATCAAGGTACTTGCAGGGGCTCTGATTTCATCTGAGGCTCGGGGTCCAAGCCAAGCTCATTTAGGTTGTTGGCAGAATTCAGTTCCTTGCAGCTGTAAGATTAAAGTCTTGTTTTCTTGCTGGTGTTGGATGGAGTGGCCCTTAGTTCCTAGAGGCTGCCCTCAGGTCCTAGCCATGTGAACCTCTCACAACATGGCAGCTTACTTCTTCAAAGCCAGCAGGAGAATCTCTCCCCAGACTGCTGCAACAGAATCTTATGTAAACTAACAGTAGTCACTGGAGTGATTATCTCATATTCCCAGGTCCCACCCGTACTATAAGAGGAGGGCATTATGCTGACTTGTACACCAGGGGGGCAGGAATCTAGGGGACCATCTTAGAGTTCTCCCTACTACATTACTGTATCTTTTTAACCTTACAACAATCCTATGAGAGAAATAGTATTTTCCCTTTTTGCTAATTAGGAAATCAGTGCTCAAAGAGGTTAAGGAATCTGCCCAAGGTTGCACAGTTAATACCTTCTAGAGAGTGGGGTTCAAATTTAGTTTCCTCAAACTACAAAGCTTTGAGGGCTTCTTGAGGATGAGAATGTGAGTTTCCATTAGGATCATGGTAGGGACCTGGG